CATCATGCCTAAAGACATCCAGCTGGCCCGCCGTATCCGTGGAGAACGTGCTTAAATTACCTCAATATAAACTACACCCAACGGCTCTTTTAAGAGCCACCTACATAAACCTTAAGAACGATTCGTTTAATCAATCAGTATTGGTCAAGCTTAACTACACCTTAAATATGTCTCTTGAACATTGAATTTATAAATATTTGGAGTTTCTGATCTGTGCAGGTTTCGCATAGCACCTAGAATACAGAGATAACTGTTGTACTTAAATGGCATATCTATGATTATTTCGGATGAGGTATATTTATGCACAACTGTATTATATATGAAGGTGAGCGTGATAACTGCAACCCTCGTCATCTGTTACTGTAGTGTTTTTACCTTTTAAATTGTGGAGTGGTTTTGTTCAGGTGGAGTGTTTTTCTAAGTGTTTTGCTATATAATTAAGGTGGTTTGACTTAATTTGACAATTTTCACTAAATTGGTAATGTCATTCTAGTTTTATAGCTTAACTAAATGTTGGAGTACAATTTGTAAAAGTCAGTTTTATACGGAATGTTGCCAAAATAACAGAACTTTAAAGAAAATAACATTAATTTGGCCTTTACACAATTCATTAAATGTCACAAATACCTCAGATTTTATTTACCAAAAAATGCAAGACTGAAGTAAGCAAGTACTTTATGTATTAAAGAGATAATGTAAATTCTATTAAGTCACTTTGTTTCAGTAGATCCCATCCGCTGCTGAGCACAAGTCTCTCTGCAGCGCGGAAACTTGACGTAGAGCATTCTGATTGGACGACGCCTCTTCTGCTGATACTTAACCAATCAGCGGATAGATGGTGTGTATAAATGCTGCTGGTCGCTGTAGCGGCCTTATTTCTCCTTGACTCAAGAAGAGCGAAATACAAGATGTCTGGACGTGGAAAGACCGGCGGCAAAGCCAGAGCTAAGGCCAAGACCCGCTCATCCCGTGCGGGGCTCCAGTTCCCAGTGGGCCGTGTTCACAGGCTGCTGAGGAAAGGAAACTACGCCGAGCGCGTTGGCGCCGGAGCTCCTGTCTATCTGGCGGCGGTGCTCGAGTACCTGACCGCTGAGATCCTGGAGCTGGCTGGAAACGCTGCCCGCGACAACAAGAAGACCAGGATCATCCCCCGTCATCTGCAGCTGGCCGTCCGCAACGACGAGGAGCTCAACAAGCTGCTGGGTGGAGTCACCATCGCTCAGGGTGGTGTTCTCCCCAACATCCAGGCTGTCCTGCTGCCCAAGAAGACCGAGAAAGCAGCAAAGGCCAAGTAAACCTTTACAGCCAAAACCCACAAACCCAACGGCTCTTTTAAGAGCCACCCACATCTATCTGAAGAGTTTTATCCTGAGCTTTTAAGTCTCTTGATGCCAAGTACAATTAAGTATTGATGAAGAATCTGAGGTCACCACTGAGATAAAGGTGAAATATTTATGAATGTTGTCTATATTTTCTATCAAACAATATAATTGGGAGAATGTGGATAATTTGCTAGTAATCAATAACAATTTGTGGGACGATTGAATCTTAATAAATTTTTATTTTGGATCTGTGTCATTGAATACTGCACAGAGAACCTCCTAGCCCCTACCATAAAGAAATTCTTCAACTTCACCCACAGTTTCTTCAGGAAGGTTTATTTTATATATATATATATATATATATAAATAATCAGCAGATGTACTATATTCAATATAACTATATTCTTCAGCTGAATACTGAGATGACGATGCATCATCTTGTCTTTATATGTTTTCACTCATCCAATGTGGATTTGTTCTATTTCATCTTGAGTAAAATATTTATCTAAGTCCATAAAGTTTCTGCTGCATATTCTTTCACATGGGTTATGTCAATAAATGCAATGTTACCAGGCCTCTGAAGAGCAGAATGAATGAATGCTGATCTGGAAATTGAGCCATTTGAAGAGCATTAAATATATACATTTAAGCTGGATCTTAACATGTATGATGAAAATCTACCTAAACAAAGTTCACATTCAGTTCTATGTGTGTTTTAATGTGTATTACTTGGCCTCTAAGCGCCTTAAGTATTTTATAAGTAGAAAGATGGTTTTAAGTCTTTTTTTTTTTATCAAGAAAAAATTAAAATAAATCAGGTTGTTGTAATATTCTTTGTAGCTTTAATTTCCAGAAAATGTTAAATTTGGTGCAAAATTATTCAGGTTTCCATGGATATTTTGCTTTGTTGACAGAAAAAAACTGAATTTTATTGTGGATTTGTATTCCAACCGTTATTTTTAACTCTGCGACTCATATATTTTGATATAAATTTAAATAAGGAAGTTTATTTTAAGATCTTATTGAATAAGCGGAAAGAGGGTTGAGTGGATAAAGACGAAGAAAAATGGCGGGGTGCCTGTCTCCATTTACGTCCGCAGTATGTGTTTAAATTCGGACTTTCACAAGCGCTTTTCATCATTTTTGCTCTATAGCCAAACACAGTAATACGGAATGAGTGGACGCGGAAAGGGAGGTAAAGGACTCGGAAAAGGAGGCGCCAAGCGTCACCGTAAAGTCCTCCGTGATAACATCCAGGGAATCACCAAGCCCGCTATTCGTCGCCTGGCTCGCCGTGGTGGGGTCAAGCGTATCTCCGGTCTCATCTACGAGGAGACCCGCGGTGTGCTCAAGGTCTTCTTGGAGAACGTCATCCGTGATGCCGTCACCTACACCGAGCACGCCAAGAGGAAGACCGTGACCGCCATGGATGTGGTGTACGCTCTCAAGAGGCAGGGCCGCACTCTGTACGGCTTCGGCGGTTAAATCTACCAGCTCTTTACTAAAACCCAACGGCTCTTTTCAGAGCCACCCACACTTCTTGGAGATTGTCCTATATTATGTTCAGTCTTAAAACTTCTATGAGAAAGCTCAATTTTTTTAAGATTAAATCCAATATTAGAAAATCCCTAGGCCGTAATTAGGTCAACGACGCTAAAATGTCAAGAACTGCTTTTTAATATACTGCACTATGAGCTGACTATCCTAAATGGGTTAAGCCATTTGATATTTTCCCTCCAAATGGAAGACAATTTTCTCAGCCTGTACATCATTTAATAGTATAGGTTTACATTAACAGTCAAAGGAGAACGTGTAGAAGGGCAGAATAAATTTGTATAAATGCTACTAAATCTTTATACTTGGAGATTAAATGTGTTCAGTGATTTGGACTACTTAAAATTGTGTATGCTATGTTAAGGATTCAAAAATTATTTATACTCAATTTAATGTAACATACACTTCTTAGGAATGAAAGAAACGTGGAGTATTGACTTAAAAACATTGTATACATTCAGCATACCGCCAGGAAGCGCCATTGCATGCGTAAGATGAATTGAAAACGTCTTCAACCTTCCGAGCAGCTGAGCCAATCAGAGGCAGGCATCAGGGCAGTCTAATTTACATACAAAATCTATAATACTAATCTCTGCGCGCACTTCCTCATTCGTTGCTGTTTCCCAGGAACACATCAGGATGCCTGAACCCGCCAAGTCTGCGCCCAAGAAGGGCTCCAAGAAAGCCGTCACTAAGACGACCGGCAAAGGAGGCAAGAAGAAGAGAAAGACCAGGAAGGAGAGCTACGCCATCTACGTGTACAAGGTGTTGAAGCAGGTCCACCCCGACACCGGCATCTCGTCCAAGGCCATGAGCATCATGAACTCGTTCGTTAACGACATCTTTGAGCGCATCGCCTCCGAGGCTTCCCGCCTGGCTCACTACAACAAGCGCTCCACCATCACCTCCAGGGAGATCCAGACGGCCGTGCGCCTCCTGCTTCCCGGTGAGCTGGCCAAGCACGCCGTGTCCGAGGGCACCAAAGCGGTCACCAAGTACACCAGCTCCAAGTAAACCCGCTGTTTACCATCAAAACCACAAAGGCCCTTTTTAGGGCCACACAAATACAACTAAGCGCAAGTAGTCCTTTTCATATTTAAGCACTATTTTACTGACAGCATCTTGTAATAAGATGAAAACAATTAAATACATCAAAGATAGGATTTATATTTCTTAAATGAATACTGCAGGTTTTGCTCCAACACCTGGTGAATATTGGGTCAATAAAAATTATATATATTTTTTAAATGGATTAGACTAACATTTTATGGTGCTATTTTAAAATTCTCCCGAGTTTTCTTAAACACAGGGCAGAATTTGGATAGTTTGTCTGCAAAATATTTTAATAGCAACATAATTAGAAGAACAAAGCAAATTTATTTTTATATTATAAGAAATGTGTGAAATGCAAAAAATTATTTGAAAGAATTTTTTGAGGTATTGAGATACTACTCTACAAAAATACAATATTTCAAGAGGGAATCGTGAATTTGATACAGACTTTGTATTTATTCTGTCTCCACCTACTCAGTCGTGATCGACACGGATTTACTTTCCAATCCAATACTGAGTAAAATTCAAGCTGGTGTCAGCAAAATTTTGTACAATTCCAGATGTATGGTAAATCTAAAACATGTTTCATTATACAGAGTGACTCAAATTGATATTGCTGATAAAATATTTAATTGATATAGTTTTTCTAAAACCTACATTTGAAAATTATTTAATGGTCAAAGCAAATTAGTCTGAAAATATTTTATCTATAAAATATATCTATTTTAGGTGTGCATCTGACACTGTACTTCCCGCTTTTGTTCTGTCTTAACTTAAATGCATTATATACTCTGTGGTGTGGTTTGATGTGAAGTGTTTCACAAAGTTTGTGTTGCACAACTCATTGTTTTTGGATCTGAAAAATCTTCACACAGCTTCCCGGTAATGTCTGGCTGACTGAGCCTACAAGTTATGCATTTATCCAGGTCGGAGAAAAGGTAGTTCTCACAAATCAAAAAAATTCATACAAGACCTCAATACTTTCTTTCATTTAATTTTTGTTGAAGGTATACACTTCCTTCAAATAACTAGGGTATTAAAAATAAGTAATATTTTGATTTGAGCATTAATTTTAAAGTAAAAAGAGCTGGTGTCAGAAGTGTCAATATTTCAGTACTGATCTGCACATCAGTACTGCCCACCTCTGCTTAATACAGGGCAACTAAATCACATTTGTTTTCCCAAAGTGTGTGCATTTAGCAGGATGTTGATCAGTATATGCTGCAGCACCACTTTATGTCTGCTGGTTATTAGCTGTTCTGATACTTGTTAGTTTTGTCATGTGCTGCCAGGAGTTTCAATTACTATTTATCTTCCATGGGATGTTTCATACTGGGATGTTTTAACTGGAAATGTGTTTTCTAAAATCTTTCCACTGCCAGGAAATGCAAATATCGATGAGTTTTGTTGTTGCAAGCTATTAATTACATTTAATTTCCCTTTGTGATTGATAAAGTATTTTTTGTATTTGAATACTTGATTATAAATAGAATTCTAAGCATATAGTGAAGTGTAAGGTAATCTTCAAGAATTAAAACAAAGATACATGTGAGATCATTTAAAAGCCAAATGAATTAGAAAAAAGGAAGCTGAAGCATTGACAACACATCTGATATAGAAGATTAAACTTGCCTCAGTGTTTGCCTCATGGCAGTTCAGATGATTAAACTAACAATGCTCCAATATTGCTTAAAATTTCCATTATATGAAAAAGTTTCACTTCATAATTATGGAATCAAGCTGAGCTGGAATTACAGCAGTGATCTGAAATGTGGACGACTTAAAGTTATCGTTGTTTCTCATCTATTTTCTAATCTGAAAACGAACATATTTTAGTTCATTTTTAAATTGGAATGTGATAGGTGCATAGTTACTTATTTTTAATTACTATTTGGTTAACATTTTCTTTCCCCCATCAGATTCATCCCAGAGGAATCCTGACCAGCGGCATAATCATCGACAGCTTCGGTGTGTTTTTACTGTCGGAGAAACTTCCAAATTTAAAGCTCAGATAATCACACTACCACTACCATTTTATTTTTATTCTTTCCACAGACTTCTCTTGTAATGAGAGGACCACATTTATGTATTCTGTAATGTGATTTTAGATGTTTTAGGAGACGAAATGTGTTGAAAATTCACCTGTCGACGCATAGAATCAGAGGGTCTCTGACACCTTTGAGCGCTCCTGGAACAAAAAGAAAAGCTTCTGGAAACCAAATGTGACCTTACTGTGGAGACAAATCAGTTTCCTTTCCGTTACAGTAACATTTATGTTAGAAAATATCACATTTGAGAAGATTTAAAGCTTAAATTGCGGCGAAGAAAACACAAGTATGGCCATTTTTGTGGCAGCAGCGGAGCGGCGGACTGAGTTGTCTCTTCACGGTTCTCACGTCTGTTATAAGTCCCGCC